TACATCATAATGACGGCGACAAGTTTATGTTAATACATTTAAAATATTCAATAGCGTTTTGCGACAATTAGGATTTGTATTAAATGCATTTATCGATCATTAAAATGTGTATAAAATCGTTTTATCGATTGCAGATTTTTAAATTGCAGATTTATAAAGTAGATTAGAGTGATATATTCTGCCGTGTATGTGAACTTATATAAATCTCAATGATCGTCAAATGATTTAAACGGATTGCTTGACGACGGACAGCTTGACGTATCAATTAATTATTATCTTGGAAAACAATTTTTTCTCCAATTGTTGGGAAACAATTTATTCGATCTGTTTCTTTCACAACACAAATAAATTTCCGATAATAAATTTTCAAAATAAAACTGATCTTCATCGAGAAATTAATTATATTTATTATATATTTATAAGATATTTTCCTTTTCAGACTGAAACAATACTGGACATTCCGATGGATGTCTCGGAAGAGTCCGATATCTGTCACATCGATATGCCAACAGCTGTTCTGGACGCTTCCGAATCATGTGTGTAATTCTTTTGAATTTTAATTAGATTAAAAAGAAGTTTTGTTAAATTTAAAATGTTACCTTGTTCTTTTTACGGTAACTTGTCACAACTATGTATTTGATTTTATATAACATCTCTTTTCTGGAAATTGTAACGAAAGTTGAAATGGAGTTACAATAACGTTGTGAGGAAGCGATATCTAGTTCTTGGGAAAGTGTATTATTATAGATTTTTAACGAATCTCTTTCTATTAAAAACATACTACTAGTATTAGGTACTAGTACTAGGAAATAACTACGCATTATCGCATTACGCATTCATACTCAAGCTGCTACTGATCGTAAGTGCCTGAGTATATAGCATGCGAACTTTAAAATCGCAGACGTAGCTCGCATCTTTAATAAAAAAATAAACAAAAGGTATATTAATTCAGAAGCGATTATTACACTATTTGACCTTTTCAAACTTGACGTGTGTGAGATTGTCGCGGCTTCCAACATTTAATGCTGCTCATAATTCCTCTCTATCTTTTTTTTGTTTTACCTTTGTTGAGATGACATAAGCTGATGTTTTTTTTTTTACCTTCCTTGAAGTGACATAAGCCGATATTCATAGTCGATTCTTATATCGTTTTAAATATGATTTTAAAATGAACCAAAAAACGTATTAACATCTTAATCGAATAAATGAGAATAGATAAAAATGAATTGGAATTTTATTTTAGTAGCATTCGAATGTATTAAAAAATGGTTAATTTTTATTTAAAAATTTATTTAAATTGAATTGAAAAATTGCATTTCTTTATTTAGAATTTTGAATTGAGAAATATTCATGATGCACGAAAAAGCTGATCTTATTTTAAATTGAAATGTATCCCAATAAAAAATTGTTCATGTATACATATAAATATAATGTATAATAAACATAAATATTCATAAACATGTATAATCATATATGTATGAAAATACATGCTCATACATCTCTCTTTTGTAAAATTATTTTTTAGTGTAATAGAAATAATAATAGTAATGTGAAAATATATACAGTTAATATATTAAAAATACAGAAAATATTAAAAATAATTAAAAAGGTAATTTTCATACTATTTGTTTTAGAAAAAAATCAAGTTTGAAGAAATGTAAAAAAAATTACTCATGCATAATTATATATAAAATTATGAATAATTGTATATGAGCAATTTCTTTACATTTTTCCAAACTTGTTTTTTTTCTAAAACGAACAATGCGAAAATTATTCTTTTAATTACTTTATATTTATAAACATGATTATACATATTTTAGGTGTTGGAATTAATTCGTAGTGTTTTTAATGAAAGAATGTTATTTATTTCACATGAGCATTAAAAAATACATTAATGAAAGTACTTCCCATCACTTGTAAAACGCTACGAATTAATTCCAACACCTAATATATATATTTATACATATTCATGCATAAAAAATTTTTTATCGGGATAGAAATGTACTTTATACTATTCCAATAATTTATAAAAATGCATTCGGATTGAAAAGGATTCATTTTAATGTTTGTGAATTGCGTATTTCTGAAAGTCTATATAAATCCATTTTAATTCATTTCAAGCCATTCTCGTTTACTGGAAAGGCATTATTTAAGATGGTCTTAAGAAATAAGAATGAACTATGAGTACCGGCTATAGTCTTAAGGCGTACAACAGATAACGATTCTCGTTCTTATTCTTTCTTTCTCAAGTTTTGTTTTCAAGTATACCATGCTAGTTTAATGCACAGAAATTCTCTTCGTCCTGTCCTTTACTTAAGGATAGTCTAAAAATAAGTTGAACATAAATAAGAGATCGTTGAGATGCATAATAAGAAAGAATTTTGCTGTACGTGGCAGTTAACTATAATTGCAGCATGAGTCTTGTTTTATTATTCAGAACTAACAAGACTCATACATTATTGCTTTTCGATAGTAACTCATGTATCTAACATATTGAAACTTGTTCACGCTGGGTTCTAAGGTCAAATTCATTTCCACGATTTATTTGCATTCGGACTTCGTACACCTCTCAACACTTGCTGCAAATCCCAATTACATCATTCAATCTTGACAGGTTTTTTTTAGGTAAATTTCAAGATCTATCGCATTAAATTTAAGGACAATTGTTTCAGATGTTTTTAAATTCTGTTCTACTCCCACCCTTAAATCACCTTTCGCACAGCCGCAAACTCGCTTTAACTATCTCGCTAAACGATCAAAGATCCAGTCTTGAATCCGACAATCTCGACACAACACTCGTGATTTCGAATACGAAGTACAGAACGTAACAACAGCGACGGATCGGTAACAAATGCGCGCGCGCGCAGGTCTCACAATTGTTCAAGGATCTATTTTTCTCTTACGGTCGTGGATTACCTCGCAGTATATATTACTTGAAACTAACGTGTGTAGTAATTGAAAGATTCTTATCTTTCTGTGTGAAATGTTGAGCGGTTCTATGGATACGACGAAAACTGAATGTGTAAAAATAAACGTGCAACCGACGAATCATAATGGTATGTCTCTATCTTTATATCTTTTTGTAGCGATCATTTTTGTGTATATTCAACAAGGTTTTGCCCTTATCACCCCGAATTTTAAATTAGGACACGTTCGAAGCGCACGCTTCATGATTATTATAAGTCGTCTCGTGACTATAAGTTGATAATAATTTAATAATTCATTTTTTATGATAATAATGTGTAAATAAATATAACAATTATACTATATGTTTTCTAAATTCTTTGAAATATCATTTTAAACAGTGAAAATTGAACCAATCTTATATATAAAAAAGAGTAGTTATAAGATTTTTAATTTTTAAAAGTAAGATTCACTCTAAAAGTTTTACAACTTTACATAAAAAATTTTATATATATATATATATATATATAAAATATGTGATATAATATGTATAATATATGTAATAAATGATATCGTTTCCTTACTTCAAAAGTGACATAGAAAGTTGCGTGGCTGCTCTCTGTACCAAAGATTCGAGTTTAAATTTACCTAAAACACACACGTCAGATATTATTTAATCGTTATCTCTCTAAAAGCAAAGACAAATAACCAAGGATATTTTTGCCATCCTTGAGAACCTCTTCTAAAAAATCAGATTCTTCGAATCGTTAAAAACTATAGGTTACATGTATTGTATAATAGAAAGTGGATACATGTAGAAGAGCTCACTATGTCTCTAACAGAGAAGAAGACTTCAAAAGTGACATAACTTAAATAGTTAAATTTTTCAGAAAAGGAAAAGAACTATTTTTTAATTTAATAGAAAATTGACTAATTAAATATCGATTAAAAAATACTTTCAAATGGCATTTTTCTCATTTTCAACAATAATAAGAATCAGTGAGTCAATTGTATACCAAGAAATGAGACAAAAATTACAAAAGAGTAAATTCAATAAAGTATTTATAATTTTATCAACACCTATTTTTTTTCACTTTTATAATTTCATTTTATTTCAAGATAATATACAATTAATCGATCCACAGAAGCGTAAAAAAAGCCAATCCTAAATATTTTATGCGTAAACAATTGTATTGATTTGTATCTTACGTAACAACAAACATTTCCGACTTTTCTATTAGATCATTTTCAGTATTTCAAATTAAAAAATTAAAAAATTACATTATGTAATTTCCCGAATTATACGAATTTAATTATATTAATTATATCGTATAAATAATATAATATATTTAAGTATTAAATATATACATAATATATGAGTATATAATATACAAGTATTGATATATATATATATATATATATATGCTCCTTATGGTTCTTCATTTCTCTTCAATATATTAAACAAATTCTATTAATTAATTTAACAGTTTTATTCGTATTACTTAATATGAATATAAATAGTGCCGATTAAGTTAATCATTCGGAATTCAAAAATCATCCTCAAAAAAGATCTTTCTTGAAAAATAAGAACATTGAGAAATCGAATATCTAACATCAAGAGATCAAATGCCGACTTCAATATAACTTCATCGCAGAAAGATTATAGATAGCGAGATTTAAAAGATAAAGACGCGCTCCTTTAACGTACCGTGGAAAAGAAAAACTTATCACGAATCGCAAAAGCGAGCGGAGAGGCTTCCGGGAGAAAGTAACACGTAATACACCTGTATTACCTGGAACACTCCATGCAGGGAAATGCGAAAACAACCATTTCCCAAGACTCAAATCGTTTTCACCCCGCGAATCGATCTTTGAATTCTAGTAGTTCTACCCTTCACTTTCTCCGAGCCTCTTCCCCGCCTAAGTTTTCTTGACACATGGCGCTCTCTGGCGGTAAACCATCGCACCCCCCCCATACGAAACGCACCGTTATTTATTTATTGTTGATAAATTCGCATATAATCCGACTGTTACATCCGACAGTTGTCAGTTATCTTTATCCCCGTAACGGCGCTCTTTACTTCTTCATCTCAAGGAAGTGACCTTCTCCATATTTCTTTCGCCCCACTTTTCTGGTACACGGAGAGATATTCGAGAATCAAGATACAGTGTACGGTATTTGCTCTCTCGTAGTGTTTCGAAGCTTAGTAAGGAAGTTAGTATGTAGTAGAGCGCCGATCTTGCAACGTTATTATACGGAAGGCTGTGATCTAACTAACTTTCTGTTCCGTTTAACCTTTTATTATCAAATTGAACAATTAAACGCCTATAGAAGGTCCTGCAGTGTTTGCGAACATGGGTAAGAACAATCTCTCGTGAATTTGATATTTCCGCTTAGTTTCGTTTAGTGGACTCGTCCCTTCTTGATCTCTGAATCCATAAAGTCAACCATCAACCATCTGAAACTGATCTTCCGCGACACTCCTGCCTACATGTCGCGTTCCTCTCAGATTCGTTTCCGATGAAACTATTCCTTTGTTATTCATTTATATAAAATTATCAAATTTTAATGTGCCATTAAGATAAATGGCACATTAATCTGAAATGATGCTGGAATTAAATATTAAACATTCTTTTATAATTTTTATAAAAGAAAAATGACAAATATAATTTTGTAATCAAATTTTATTTGAGTAATTATTATGAATTACCATTGATAATTAACTGCTGTATATAAATGAAATGATTAAAGCGAATAATAAAATTGAACTTTCATAATTTTTTTTTATATTGTATTGCGCGCTTGTGCTGTGTCATAATGATCGTGAATATGCAGAAATTATGTTAATGCATCAATAAATTTGTCTCACTTTGCATTATGTTGAATGGCGAAAAAGTTGATAAAATTTAATAACTTTGCAACAAATGAATAAAATTGAATGAATTAAACTTTGCTTTGCAAAATATTCTTTTTTATTAACGTCTTATTAGTGTGAAAAGAATACAATATATTCATGTTTATGAATAAACACGAATTTATGTCTTCATATTTTAATTCTTTTTTATCCAGCCTCTCTCATTCTCAAAAAAAAAAAAAAAAAAAATTCAGATGAATTAAAATAAATTGCAATTTTCAGTTCGATTAAATTTATTTTCGAATGTTGAGTATACATAACTGAAGAAAAAATATACTAAATTTTAATAAATATTTATTTGAATAATAACCAGCTAAACATTTACTTACAATAAATAAGTATTTACTCAATAAAGAAAAATGATTATTAAATCAGATTAATTTTCTTTGGTTTTTGTATAAAATAAATATATTATTATATTTGGTAAATATTTAATTAGTGCTATTCAAATAAATAACTAACTAAATGTAGAATATTTTTTTTCAGTGTACGTGCACTTATAAAAATAAATGTTATAGAAAAGGATTTAAAAATTATTAAATTTTAATTATTTTTTAATATTAATAAATGCAATGATCATTTTCACCAATGTAGATCAACTTTAATTTCGATTCAATTTACTCTTCGTCTTCTTCTAATACACTGAGAGAAAAATGTCGAAGTATGGGCGAAACAATTGTTACTTATGAAATTTGATTGTGACGAAATATACATTTCTGTGAAATATATCTCATTAATTGAAAAAAATAATAAAATAGATGGCTTATTTGCTAGGAATAAAATTATATTTCACCAGTATTTAAATAAATATTTATTTCAATGAAATAAATATATTTCTCAATATATTTTTAAGCATCTTTTTCTGTAAGAATTAAAAAAGATGGAAGAGTTAGTTCGATCATGCGTAAAATTAATCTACATTGATAAAAACAGATATCATATCCAAAATGTTAACTTTAATCTCGTTTTAATTTTCTTTGTATCTTTTTTTTAGTTCTAACAAGAGATAAAAAGTAAGTAAAATCGAGAGTTAAAGTTAATCTACTTTGATAAAAATGAACGTGTGTGAGAATCTCTTTCACAAATCTCTGATTAAATTGTTTATTCAATTGATTGAATCAACCATAACGATTGAAGCGCGAAGTAAATTTATCTTAAGAGAGAAAGAGAAAAAAGAAACTTTGATACATTAACTATTGCTGGAACGTCTGCAATAGTCAATTATTTATCTCTTAACTTGGCAAGAGGGTTTCAAAATCCAGAGAATATAGTATTTTTTGCAATTTTTACTCCTTTTTTTTATTCAATTGTTTGTGGTGTTACATTTTTCTTAAATTTTATTATTGTTGTCCGATATTAAAATTTGCATTTTGTTTCAAATTTTAATATCAGTCAACGGTAGTAAACCAGAGATCATTTCAGAGATTGATGAAAGAGACTTTAATTTAACTGTACAAGTAATTGTCTTTGAAAAACTCTTTTTTATAAAAATGATCGCTTCTGCCGAAATCTTCTAAACACTATGCAAATTTTCGACCTTTTTATTGTATTATATCTTTATTTTTACGAGTCTAATATCTATCCTCTTTTCACTTTACGTTAAGGAACATGAGAAAAACTCTCTACTGCAGAGTAGTGTTTAATTCATTTCATTTTTTGCCCATTTATTATAAAATAACCGTGTAATTTCAGCACTTTCTAATTGTCACCCTGTATACGTATGTAAAATGGAAGTTGTCACATATCGAAGGAAAACATTTTCGTATGAGATTAATTCCTTTATATGTTTAAATATCATCCTTTCTCTCTTTCGTGCTCTCGCTAAGAAAACACTAAAAATGCAGATATACGGAAACGTTGACATAAGATAATAACTTTCAGGATATAATTTTCCTCGATTGAATTCTGACTTCACGCAGAGAGATCAGCTTCTAAATTAATTATTTCAAGATTATTCCGATTATTCCTTAAAAATGAAATTCACTTTTTTATTTCTTTTGCAATTTTTTAAAATTTCTTTTTTATCTTTTCTTAATTTTTTAAATTCATAATATTAAATATCCCTCGAATTCTCGAGTCGTTATCTCTTGTTCGAGCAAATATATTTATCAATCTGAAAAATCAAATATTTTTATGTATTAATGTTTTTATACCGCGCTTTATTTAATTTGAGAGATAGCCTTAAATATTAGACATAAACGCATCTTTCTCATCTAGATTCTTTTTCTTTCTAATTCTTCACTGGATAAATCAATGTATAAACCAATGTATAAACCAACCTAATGTATAAACCAATCATATTAATGAATTTTACGACAGTTGTAAAAGCTGGTTTTTCTGCTGAACATAGTCATCGATTAAATTAGTTAAATCTAGATTTAACTTATTATTCAAGCAAAAACTAAATTACAAATTGTAAATTTAAAATTTATAAATCAATTAATAATATGATATTTAGTATGACATTTATTATTTGCATCTTTTTCATCTAGAAACATGTTTAAAAATTTTCTTGAAATTTAACTTGTCATATATTTAAGATAAACATATTTTAAGTTCTTAAACGGAATTATTTTGCTTTGTATTGAATTATTATTATTTCTATAAGTTAATTACTTTTTACACTCGTAATGAAACAAACGTGATTAATTCAATGTATAACTCAATTTAATTTACACATAAATTTTCTCAGTGTTTATATTAAGATATGTGTAATATCCTGGCCGAATATCCTATGTCCTATGCCATAATAAGTAATTAAAATCGAGGGGCGTTGATTATTTATCTTAAATAATATATTTTGTTTCAGCACAAACAAATGATAAACAAATACCTATAAATTATACTGATGTAAGTAAACTAATTGGATTTATAAGAATTTTAATTTTTTCATATGCATATTTGATTAATTTACTTAGAGTATATTAATTATACAAATCACCATATCTTCTTTCTCGTGTAGAAAAACATTTGAACGACTTGTTTACGTAAAAATGTTTACAGTTAGTTCAGCAATCACGGGATACGTTTAACAGTGGAAAAACAAGACCGATAGAATGGAGAATCAAACAATTAAAACAGCTTACACTTATGTTAACGGAAAATACTTCAGAACTTACAGCAGCATTTGCATCAGATTTACGTAGGGTATGATTATGATTATAAGGACAATTGCTTTATTATTAACTTAATCGTATTACGTAATTTAATAATGTTCTATATTTGATAATTTTTTAGAGCAAGTTCGAATCATTTGCGTTGGAAATCAATTATACAATCCAAGAGATTAAATACATGCTGATGAATATTAAAGAATGGGCAGCAATAGAAAAGGTTGTAATCTGAATACGATTTTTTATTATGTAAAAATAAATTTTTTTTTTATTCGTCAAATAATTTTAACAGTCTGGAAGAGAGTGCGAATACTGAAATTTGCAATATTTTATAGCCGAGCAAGTCACTTGCGTACTTTTTTGATGCAGTAGAAATCCGGAAAGATCCTTATGGAGTTGTATTAGTTATGGGTGCATGGAATTATCCCCTTCAACTATGTATAGTACCTATGATGGGCGCTATTGCAGCTGGAAATTGCGTGATTGTAAAACCGTCCGAAATTGCAATGGCTACGTCGAAATTTTTATACGATACCATTCCGAAATATTTAGACACGGTACGAGAATATTTGTTTATATTATAATTATTCCAAGATTTATGAATTAAGATATTACAACTAAAAAAGCTTTTTTTAGCTAAAAAAAATATTAATTAATATGTATTTATAACTTTTATTTTATACAAAAACAGCAGCATTTTATAAAATCTAAAAGATTGACTTGACTGAATTAAGTCATACTTATATTAATATTGGACAAAACATGTTGCTAAAATTATATGTTCATTTATACATGCTAATTCATTAGCAATATCTTTATGGATCATAGACGTTGTGATATATGTATATTATAACAACTTAAACATTAATTTTATCTTCATATTATCATCTTCATATTTTACTTTTTATATTTAATTTTAAATTCTTATATTTTTATAAACTGCTGTAATAGAAAATCACAAAAGTAATTATTTAAGTTTTACGAGAGTTTTAACACCATAACAATTTTTTATATTCGTGAATTTGGAATATCATGTACTTTTTTAGGATATTCTATCATAAATTGCATAATTTTATTTTATTTCTTAAGTTAAAGGAGGTAGACTATGAAATTGAATTCTATAAAGCACTTTGTTGCATAACTCATAATAACTACGCATTGAAAAATGGAGGAAGTTTATTTTTCCTCTATTTTTCCTTCTCTATGTAATTATATATCTCAATGTATTAGTTTGAAAAACACTATGATTTATATTCCAGAAATATATTTATACATTCTTAATAAGATAAAATTACCTCTATATGTATGTTGAAGGTTTTTCTTATGAAAAAATGATATGATTCGTGTTTTATTGTGTGTGTTATTGTAAACAGGATAGTTGCCGTGTAATACTGGGAGGAATCTCAGAAACGACAGAGCTACTCAAGCAACGTTTTGATTATATTTTTTATACTGGATCCTCTGTGGTTGGAAAAATCATACGGAAAGCTGCTAATGAGTTTCTCACACCTGTTACATTAGAGTTGGGTGGAAAAAGGTATCTCCAAAACATTGAAATACGTATAAAATACAATTATTTATATTCCCTAAAAATTTTTTTTTTCGAATGGAATTGCACTAAATAACACTGATTTGCAGTCCCGTATACATAGATAACACAGTAGATATATCTATGGCAGCAAAACGCATTTTATGGGGTAAATGCATCAATATAGGTCAAACTTGTATCGCACCCGATTATATGTTATGTACACCCGAGATACAGAAAAAATTTATTGAGGAAGCCAAAAAGATTTTACACGAATGGTACGGTGATAATCCACGTGAGAGTCCCGATTTGGCACGCATTATTTCGGACAAACATTATCAGTAAGTTTTATATCTAAATATTTAATATAATTGTTCATAATACTGATAATGATTACAATTTTTAAAACAGTTTACAATTGGATAAATTAAATAATAACAATTGTTTTCCCAATAATAACAATTGTTTTAAATTCTTATATTTTTATAAACTGCTGTAATAGAAAATCACAAAAGTAATTATTTAAGTTTTACGAGAGTTTTAACACCATAGCAATTTTTTATATTCGTGAATTTGGAATATCATGTACTTTTTAGGCGGCTTGTCAATTATTTAAGTGACAAAAGCAAAATTGCCGTTGGTGGCGACGTGAATCCTGCAGAAAAATTTATTTCGCCCACAATACTAGTTAATGTCAAACCAACGGATTCCATCATGCAAGAGGAAATATTTGGACCGTTATTGCCTATAATAAACATTAATAATGCATACGAAGCAATAAATTTCATCAACAGTCGGTATGTTATTTAAGTGATTATGAAAAATGAATGCGCGTAGTTATTCTTTTTTGTTTCTTCTCTTTTTTTTCTTTTTTTTTTCTATAATTAGAACATTTTCATTTATTCGCATTCTTTATAATCTCTCACTCACAGAAAATTTTATTCTCCGCGCAAATATATTCGAAAAAAATACCGTAAGGTAAACTTTTACCTATATTCTTTCGTTCACTTGTATTTCACTTCACGATTTCACTATTGTACGAGGAAACGGCACAAAGTAATTAGTTTTTCGCATCTAGTGAAAGCCCACTTGTACTGTACGTATTTTCGACGAGCAAGGGGGTACAAGATCTAATTATAGATCAGGTCAGCAGCGGATCCGTGTGTGTCAACGACACGGTATTACAATATGCCGGTGAGTCCGGATTTTAGATGACGGAACTATTATTTTTATCGGGCTTATTTATTTATTATTTAAGAATTTTGGTTAAAGAAAAACTTCGTTTTAGAGACCATCAACTCTTTCCACAATTTTTATGCTTTTATGGTTACGATTCAGATTTACAATACTATTTGGTTTTTTTATATTATTTATATATTGTTTTTTAATATTTGTTCTATCGAAATTAACAGAAAAGCCCTTTTTTTCTTTCGGAAAAGAATGTAGATACTGCAAATGCGATTGGATAGGTATACAAATTGATTTTTTAATTCTGCTTATAAGGGAGTATGTTTTTTATATATAATATTTTGTTTATTAGCATGTGAAGGATTTTATCCTTTTCTTTAATTAAAACGTATTGCATGCGCGTTTCCTTCTTTTGGCTTAGGTTGGTTTAGATTAGTTTAAGTGATGACTGGTGTAGAACTTGTATCTTCCTTTCATATTATAAGATAGATTTCATACTGTCATATATAAATTATTCATATATAGATAATCATATGTAAATTATTATTTCATAATTATTGTATATAAATTGTATATAAATTATTTCTATTTTTTATTTTGAATGTGTTTTACATATTTTATATAAAAAAAAAATATTAAATTAATGAGACAAATAAAATTACGTATCTGAAAATGGTGGTGGCTGTAGAATTAAGAATATTCATATCCAAGTGATGATCTGCAATTATAATGTGTTTTCAAGTATTCATTATTATTAGCACGAATGCACATGCATGCACGCGAGCAACACACATGCACATACTTCATATCATGCATTCACATGCCTATGAATATACATTTCACAAAGAGAAATGATACTAATATTCTTACATTGATTATTTAACATACAGGGAGAAGCCATTATCGTTGTATTTATTTAGCCTGGATAAAGGAACTATATCTTTATTCATTAATAATACGTCTAGTGGCGACGTTAGTGTCAATGATACGATATTACAAGCAGCAGGTAGTTTTTTTAGCAATATTATAAAAAGTTTCTTTTATACAAATTATTTAACTGTATATTCCTGCTTTTTTTCAAACATCATTACGTTGCTTCTATATTAACAGAGAATGTTATTAGATATAGCATGCTTTCTTTAGATTTAGTCGCTAAATGTTGAATGAATGATATTCTGCACTATATGTTTTTATTTTTATTGTATTGCTTAATTATATTAGATTTTGCATAAAATCTACATTGATTTTAAAATAATTTAAGAAATGGTAATGGAATTGAAGACTTACAGATAGACGAATATTAAGGACATAATATATGTATAAATATATTGCTATATAATGTTGCTATACATACTATTGATATATCTTTAAATCTGTGTGAAAATGGGAGTTTAATGGTCGATTTTAATTATTTGTTATTTAAAAATTATTGTATTCTTAAGATTTATTAAAAATTGATACTCTTATTCTTCATTAAATTCTTTTGAATCTATGTGATGAATCTTTTATACATTTTTTAATATTTTTAATATTTTTATTGTTAATATTTGTAATATTTAATTACTGTTTTATTTATAATTTAGAACTATTAACATAAAATCTTCAATCCAAATTGATTAAAATAATTTAAAAAATTATCAAATCTAAAAGTGATAATTACGTATTTATATAACCACCATTATCGTTTTCTCTTTGTTACATAATTCTATACATTCTATTCATTATTAATGTATACTATTTCCTTAGTTGAAACTCTTCCTTTTGGAGGAGTAGGTTATTCTGGTATAGGAGCCTACCATGGAAAATTTACATTCGACACATTCACGCATAAGAAAGGTTGTTTGATTCGGAATTATAACAAAATTGCAGAAATCCTGGCCAAGTAAATAAATTCTTTTCTATATAATAAGATAATTCTATATTTTAAGCTATGAACACATTTTAATATATTAATATTTCAGTAATATTTTAGTTTTAAGCAGAAAAGATGTTTTTTTAGATCCCGTTTTCCACCCTATTCCGATACAAACTTGAAGTTGCTCGAACTTTTGGTCTCAAAAAGATCTAATTTGCCCCTTTTGAAGTATGTACCGTATGTACTTATATTCGGTCTCGGGATGCTCGCCACATTTGGAATCAAAGCTGCAATGAAGGTACAGAAAAGATATTAAACCGCATCATTTTATGTTATACATAAATGTAAATGGGCTAATAGAGTAGTTTATTATCATTGTAAAATTATTGAATAAAATATATTTGCATAAATAGTGGCTTAGTTGTGCGAAATATGATATAGGAAGAGCAAAGAAAGACCCCGAAAATTATCATGATTCAAAATAACATATAAATTTTCGGAGAGCGTTAATATAATTATTTAATATTGATTTATATTTTCATAATTAAGATAAAATGAAATTGTGTGTACTGTGTACAGCTATAAATGATTGTTTTTTAAACATTGTTTAATTTTTGTGAATGATATTTGAGTATTTTGGTAGAGATTTAAAATACAATATTTTAAGTAACATTATTGTGTGTTTTTTTCTATATGTTGATCAGTAACAAAACAATTCCATTGGATATCATGTAAATTGAAAAAAAAAACGAAAAGAACAAATGCATATATTGTTGCAGGAATATAATTACACGGAAGAGAAGTAACGCCATCGATATCATGCAGCGTCTTCAAATGCATCCATAGGATACATTTTCTAATTTATATTATAGTTAATTGCTTTTTACGATTAATCTTATAACACAATGAAGGATGTAAAAAGTCTTGTAATATTATCGGTATAATATTCGTAATAATATTTTCGGTTTTACATATATTATATAAATTGTTTATACTTTATATTAAATAGACATTTTATCGCACATACATATGTATATAAAGTATGTTAGTGTTTTTATAAAGAGGTCATGTAGTAAAAAATGAATATTTTTTAATTGGATAAGCTCTTGATGAATTAAAATAAATCTATTGCTTAAATCTTTTATTTTTGTATTTTGTCTTTTTTTGTAATTATAACTTTTTTTTATATTCGGATCTGCGATACATTGCGACGCTTAAAAAAAATTTAGCCTCATGTTATTTTCATTAGTATTTATTGCTCAAAAATAAAAATAATTTAAGAAGTTTTTTTTATCGTTAATATGCAACGCATGATGTATTCCTGTATCATGGAATATGATTGAAAAACTTAAAAGCATACGGCAATTAGTGTTCGATATTACAATTATGATATTCATATGTTCGTATTCATAGTCAGGTCTTATATTTAAGGCTTCCTTAAATTTATCTTCAGATATTATACGAATTACTTCATTTGCTACTGATCATCTAAAGATAAATTTAAGAACCTTAAGTACTGACCTTAAGGTCTGACTATGAATACGGGCATTAGTCCTTATATTCAAGATCGTCTTAAATTCAGCCTTAAGATGTCATGAACCAATCAGGACATTTTAGCATCTTAAAGGGTTCTCTACACATTTTAGCATCTTAAAGGGTTCTCTACACAGAAATCGTAGATGGTCATGAAATTTTAAGTCGTAGGAAACTGATTTTTCAATTCTAATTCGAGTATTCTCTTTATATTTGATTGTGGTTGGTTTCCTTCGACCTAAGACTCCACACGATCATCTACGATTTCTATGTAGAGGACCCTTAAGACATTACTTAAGACAGTCTTGAAATAAGAACCGATTATGAATATCAACCTACAATGTAATTAATTTATAATAAAGCTTTGTTCGCGTGGCTTGACATTCCTAAAAAATGTTTACACTTATGAATATTGAGGCATTGAAAAGAGAGAGAACGAAGATGCTAAATGCAAAAAGTGCAAGCAATGTGAACAGATCGAATGTTTCTACATCGACAAATCAGTCTCACCAACTCCGATTAATCGTGATTGGTCAATTCTGCTGAACAGTATAACACATACAATTTATCAGTTCCAATGTAACGATTAATCGATTATGTCAAATTCGATTTATGCTGATAACGCTCATGAGCATCGTTTGTTTTTGTTTAACATTTGACAAACAACAGGGATGAAACGATTTTTAAGCGTTTAAGCCTTTATCGGAATTGGTGAGACCGGTCCTACTCCTAAATCCCTAATCCCAGAATTGGATTTAATATACATTCTGAAAGTTTGATACGTATGAATGCATATCATACGTAAAATACGTATCAAACTTATATGATACCTTTAACATAATCTTAACTTCTATTTTATTAATCTTATTGACTAAAAAACAATGTTTTTAGGTTTTGAAGTTTTAAAGTATATATTGATTAGGAATAATTCCAAAAACTTTCCAGTTTTATTAAAAATATAGTTTGCAATTAAAAAACGGAAAGAAAATAATATTAAAAATGTAAGTGTATACTTGCAATATATACATGAATTTGGTACATCATAATAAAAATAAAAATTTTTATTGTATTATTTTACCAATTGACTCATTTTAATTTAAGTATATCAATTTTTATTTTACATTTATTTTTAATACTGAAGATGACCCGATCGGGTTTGAAACGACGTTTGTTATTTATTATTTGTGTTAGGTCATGACAATAATTTATTTCTTATATTTATACATTTACTTTGTTGTTATTTGATTCATAGCCTTTCTAAACTTTTATTTTTAATTTGTATTATTGAACCATGTTATATGATGCATGATAATATTAGTAATTCGTTGTAATTTTGGCTATTATCACGTGGATTTAATTTGAAAGTACATATAATCTGATTATGATAATTTTCTAATTAATTTTCAATATAATTATATATTGTAATCATTTCAAATTGTTGATATTGCAGTAAAATGTAAGTTTATTTTGCTAGTCTAAAACGTCTAAATAAGATCATCGAATTAAAAAATGAGGTTAAGTGACATATAATACATAATATATATATAAACATATGAAAATGAAGTGGTATCATATTTCAGTATCATACGTAGAATATCTATATATACAAGATATGATACATTCCCAACCTGATCCTACGTGCGTTTTTTAATCCGCGGATTTTAAATCGGTCGTCAAACTTCGAGATATCGCAACATCGATTTACGCCAGCACGAAGAGAATCAAAATGATTCGTTAATTTTCGTCAATCTTCGCTAGATGAGAAGTTCCGTCACGCGAGTTCCTCGTGCGCATTCGATAACCTGCGCATAATTCTGTGCCAGTGTGTGTCATTCTTTCACGTCCTGGGAGTAACACATTGACGTACTTCTGATCAGACCGAGCAATAAACATTATTGCACAATTACGTGAGTATAGACAAGTTAACGACCGGCGGCTAATGAATCATCCGCAAATTTCCTGAACATCGATGGCTACTCAGTGTTACGTTACTTATCGCACTACGCCAACACTGGCAAAGCTCCTGTTTTCTATGGGATTAATTATGTAATGTGTTTTCCTTGAGCGTTGACGACATTAAGGACATTTCATGCCACCGCCGTTGGCTGCTATTCTATTTACTCGAATGGACGTGTAAAGTATATTATTTAAAAAAAAAAACAAAAAAACAAAAAAAAACAAAAAAGCTTACTTTGCACGCTGAAATTTCGCTCGTGATTTGTTAATAGCACGATTTACCGCCCGCGTGACAAGGCCTTTAATAATTAAGTGTATGAGGCATAATCGACGTGTCTCTTTTTTCGGATTGACTTTGTATCCTATAAATATCTGTTCGTACATTGCAGAAGCAATGGTGGCCCATACCGTACTCCTGGACTTCACAGTGTCCAGTAGCGTGATCGCCGATATGGAGAAACGATCGGGTTTGAAATCAGCGATTGCAAACGTACTGGCAGAACATTTCACCGGTCTCAAGCCACTGACAGAATCTAACATCGACGGCAGTTTGCTCATTTTATATACCGGACCCAGGGGCAGTCTAATCACTGTCAGAGGGTACACAGAGGGTCTGATTACATTAAACATCGAGTATTACAAGCAGGACGACCAGGAAGCGCTCTTAACTTTTGAGGTATGTAATGAACTTGATAAATAATTTGTTAAGGATAGGAAATATCTGTTGCAAAGCAAATACTAGTGCTTTTGATAAACACCACTCCTTCTAGGCAGGGTTTTTATCAAAGTCTTAAGAAACAAAATAAAGATAAATCAAATGGCAACTTATCAATTCTCAGAGAGAAAGAAAAAGTAACTAACATATTTTTCATTAAAGAATTGCAACAAATCTGACAAACTTAATTACACTTGGCGTATCAATCGTTACGTAATAAAACTTGAGATTAAAGTAAAACATGAAACGTAAAATGCAGGATGTTAAAGAAATAAGTTCAAGACTTAAGAGATACAATCATGCTTATAAACTGAATAAAAAAATATTTTATACAGTTTGAGTAAATATGAAAATGATCAAATTTTACAATAATTTACTCGGTAATTTATGGTAAATTAGTCAGTAATTTATGTAGGGTGGTAACATAGTAATTTAAAAAAATTATAAAGATAAAGTAATTTGATTTAAAAGTATTTAGTCATTAAGTTAAAAAGTTGAAAAACACTTTATTTAATTTAAATTTTCATTTCGATACTACATATTGATTACATATTGATAGAATAATTAAAATTACAGTACTAAGATTAACAAAAGTCTATTGTTAATCTTAAAGTTTATATAACAATATATTTTTGTCAGACATTAATTTTATATTGATAAACATTTTTGTATCAATAAAGCAATTTATAGAATGCATAGAATCGAGTTAACATGTTCAAGTTTACAGAATGATTCAGATTTATGAAAAAAAAAGGACTTGTTATCAAAGTCATAACCTCGTTTCCTGTATTTATTAGATTTTGTCTTTATTTTTAACTTATGTTTTGATTTAGTGTTGAGTTATTGTTTCTTGATTGTATTGCTACCATGTCATGCGTTTATTATAAATTTCTTATACATGTAATGAAACTACTATATAAATACTTATATAATCTTAATCAGAGATATGATTTTCGTTTGGTCTTTCTATAATTTATTCAACTGTTATATGTTTAGGAAGGCTTAGGTTAATTCTAATGTGCTCTTTGTTTCCTGTTTCTTGCTGTTTGTGTCTGTTTGTCTCTTGCTTTTTTGGTCAATAAGACGAGAGACAAACAGCAAGAAACAGAAAATAAAAAGCACATTATAGAATTAGCCTTATCGTTCGAATATTGCCGAGAAAGAAACTCCATTAATTCAAATTACTTTATCATAGGAGTGATGATAATTTTTTTTATTTTTGAATTAAGATCTTTAAACTGCCTGTAATTGACCTGACTTGATTTACTTGCCTTTATTTGCATTTGCATTTAACGATCTAAAATTGTTTATTTACTGAGTGAATATAAATTTTTTTCAGTATTGTAAGGAAAAGATTATCTTATCATATTTAACTGATAAGATAATTTTTATATCTAGAGAGTAGAGAAAATACACATAACATTAAGAAGTTTATTTTTCGATTAAATATATTCTTTACTCAGTTTCTGATTAAAGCATTAAATGTATCTATCAGCCTTGAACTAGATATTTTAATATCTTGTATAGAAATTTTTTTTGATAACAAAAGTAGGAAATATGACATAACTGACAGAACGTTGTAGCAGTGGCGATACTTGGAAGCTGATGTTGCCATGGCTTTGAACAGCCAGCGTAGCAAGCGTTTACCGCCCGTAAGACGAGGAACCATATATGATCTCTATCTGACACTATCAGGTAGAAAAATGCTTTCCCTCATTAGATTTTGTGTTCCTCGTTTACTTCTCCTAACACAACTACATACTTTACATACTTGTAGATTTATTTCGTGAAATATTTGGCATAGAGAATTACAATATTGCTATTGACTGTTACTAATAGATATTTAGGATAGGCCGCTTGCCAGGAATGCTGACTTAATTTTACTTCCAGCACTGTTACGTTTAGCCCAAATTTTTCTATCCAGCACTCAGTTCATTCATAAAAAAAAAGTGCCATTTATTCAAATACAGAATATTTGAATGTGTATTTATATTCTCTTGCCTAATTATTCTCTTGCCTTTCTTCAGTCGTACGAATAAAAGTTCTTAGGCGACTGTTGCAATGCACAGGGCGTATTTCGTTATGAAATCTAAGAATAATTCGCTGTGAAAGGCAATCAAAGAATCCGATGTAAACACAGACTTCTATACGAACAATTTGACTTCTGTCAGAAGTCCATATAAAAATGGCGTTATTATTATTGATTTCTTTTATCTATATTTTTCTTTCTCTCTTATGTGTATTATAAATTAAGATTCCGTTTAATATTTTATACCGTGAGAACACAATATTAATTAAAAATTGAGATTTTCCCACTTAGAATTAAAAAAATATATACGTATTATTTCTACAAATATATTGTATATTTATGAAATTTAAAATATTATTTTTATAATGGCTTTCTTTTTTTGAAATACATTTCAATGTATAAATCCTTAAATCCTGAAATTATTAGATTCTTAGATTTGTACACTGGAAAAAAGTCTTGTTGCATTATAATTGAATTTTTTTTTGATTCAATCAAAAAGGTGCAAATCAAATACTAGTTAATTCTATATCAAACATTCCAATGAAGATAACAAAAAATTCAATTAACCCGAATTTTAATGATATGATTTTATTTGTACTTTTTGTTGATCAGAATATTTTTCTTCAGTGTAGGTTTTTTGAATCGTTACTTTTAATCGTACGGCTCCGTAACGACTCATGCGATAATACAATCATACACAGACACAGCTACCTTTATCATGATCCGTTTGTTACGTATCATTTTGTTGGACAAAAATAAGCCTTGCCATATATCATGGCTTGCCAGATTAACACCTTTTTTTAGCTTCCTTAACAACAAGGAGTGTAGCGCTTCCGTTTTACAAGATAGTGTCTTTGTTCTGTTCAATTCTCATTGGTTCGGCTTGATGATGATAATGATGATGATAATAATCATGATGATGGCGATGGTGATAATGATGATGATGGTGATGATGATGATGATGGCCGGTTATGATAGTTGGCCAAGGAATTGGAAACGGCGTTGCAGACAGCAGCAACCGCTACACGGTCGCACACGCTTACTCCAATTAAACGCGGTGGACCCTTTGAGAGATACTATCCTACCGCCGGTGAGTTTTTATTTATAATTATGTTTACGGACCAGCTAACGACTCTTACAAGGAACTTGCTTGTACTTAAGGAAACACGATCCAATTCGAAAATTAATATTATATATCGATTCGTAAATATTAGTGTTGTAAATGTCCTCTGCAGCTTTGTCTTTTGTAAACATATTACGAATAAGAAGACCATGTTAAAGTTATATTCGAAGTGATTAAGATGAAAACTCATCAAGAGCCACACACACACACACACACACACACACACACACACAAATTCATATAATCAATTTAAAATGTAATATTCATAATTAAAACTTTAGGCTTGACAATTTCTGTGATTCTAGACGCATCTTACTCTCGTTAGTAATATGCACCTGTGCTCGGCTCGGTTCAGTCTGGAACGTCTCTCCGCGTTAATCCCGAGAACATTATTTGTTCTGTTCTTGCATGACAAAGTTGCGCCCATTTTTAATAGTTAATTATAGTCTTTTACAACTTCTTCACATCATTTTTTCATCTGGTTATGATGCTAACGTTCCCATGCGTGTTATCAGCTTTGCCTTGCGATACCTTGTTTTTCTACTCTTCGCAATGTTTTTTTAATGTATAGAAGCATGTTTTTAAATTAACATTATTACAAGTTGGCAACAAGTATTGCCAATAAAGATTACCCTTATTCAAGACGAGCGACTGCTGGAATATGACATCGACAAGCTCGTGTTCGAGGCTAGATCACCGTATCAGAAGGTACAAATTGTGCACTCCAAATCGTTAGGAAATCTGCTGGTGCTCGACGAGCTGCAAAGTAAGTCACATTATGTTAACTTTGCTTATTATTTACAACTTACTAGAAATTTTTCTGCAGACATGTCCGAGGCAGATCTCATATATACAGAAACGTTGATGCAACGAGGGAAAGAAAATTATGCTGGCAAGGAGATAGTGATACTTGGTGGCGGTGACGGCGGCCTATTATGGGAATTGTTGAAAGAAAAACCGAAATTTGTCACAATGTTGGAAGTATGTAAATTGAATTTTATACGTAAGTTATTTTATAAACAAAGTACTATCTGCTTTTACATATCTTTTAGATTGATGACATCGTTATGAAAGCCTGTAGCCAGCACATGCGGAGCATATGTGGCGACTGCCTAGATAAGAGAAAGGGCGATAATTACGAAGTAAGACTTTGAATTTTCATGCACTTCAATTTTAAGAACCAAACATTTTCAAATCTGAACATTTATGTTTTATCGATTTTTATGATCTTAAATTTATAGAAATAATAATTATCATCATCCTTTTTTGTAGATCATTGTTGGTGATTGTGTGAAAGCGTTAGCTCATATGATCGAAGAAGGACGACAATTTGATTACGTATTCGGCGATCTGACGGACATTCCTATTAGCACAACGCCACATGGTGATGCCTGGGATTTTATTAGACTAATTCTCAACTCTTCCATGAAGGTGTTGAAATCTACCGGAAAATATATGACGCATGTGAGTATTTTGATTAAAAAAATTTTATTTTCATTCAATTTTATTTATCATATACTAAGTATTCTTGACTTTAATTGAAATCTAGTTGATATAGAATCTTAATGTAAATATATATGATATAAATTTATTTTATCGTTGTTTAAGATTGTTTTTTTGAATATAGGGAAATGGTGCGTCTTGTCCAGAATCTTTGAAAATGTATGAAGAAGTCCTATCGCAATTGTGTGTACCGGTCACGTTTACCAAAGACCGCGCTTTCGTCCCATCTTTTTTCGAAGATTGGATCTTCTATCAAGTCTCACTGAAATGATGGAGCAGAGAATATTCGGGCAGAACCTGGAGGAATCGGCCTCCTCACAGTCTGCTGCCTGTCTTATGACCCAAGCTCTACTTCCTAGTTTTAGTCTTATTAATTAATGAAATTAGTTCCTGAGTGAGACGAATCAAACTATTACTAATTCATTTCGTAACATGTTAATTATTGATATAATTGTTTTATCTCGAGATTTTTTCAAAAATTTTATCATCGTAACAACAACGTTGGAAGATAAATCCAAAAACATAATAGGTGGTAACAGAGAAGAGAAAAATATATATCTTTTTATAATATATAAGATAAGATACCTTCTCTATATAAATCATCAATTTGATTTTTTATCTTTTTTTTTTAAAGGATTCGAAGTTCCAAGTAGATTTAATTCGAATTAAATTTTACCTCTCGTCGAAATATATTTTCCTAATAAATTTAACGATTTTTCGAGAATATCAATATTTTGTCTTTCGCCTAAACTTTTATCTAATTTTCTTGAAAACAAATAAAATTTTTACAGTTTAGAAAAAATAGTATCCATACTATTGCAATTTAAAATTTAAAAATCTTTAAATTTAAAAAATAAGTATTTAAAAATATTTAATGATATATATATATATATACATAATTTTTTCCATCGCTGCCTCAATGTCACGAATAAGAAATTATCTTATTCAACAAATCGAAGTATTCGAATAGTAATGTTTTTTTTTCTATATGAAAGCGTAGCAAAAACTGCTTCAAAGTTTATTCTTGTTTTATATCTAATATAAACTAATGATACAATTTTTGTTGTTAATCCTTTATTAACATACATAATTATTAAATATGAAAAAAATTTTAATTGTTTTACGCTTAATTGTTTCTTTTTTTAAATATATTTTTGTTTATAGTAAAAGGATTATCAGCAATGATGCATATTATTTGTAAGTTTTCTTTCTTTATATCTTTGTTAAATAGTTTTATCGCGGTCAGTTTGTTTGTCCGCAGAAACTTGTACATTGATACATGTATGTCGATGTATATCATGTATATATCGCATATATACATATGTATAAATACATTCTGTATTTTATACAGGCTCGATGTAAGAACGATAAAATTATATCGATAAATTATTTTTCTAACAAGCGTTTTCCTCTGATTTAAATTGACAAGATTACAATTGACAAGATAAATAAATATATATGCATTCAATTAATCCTAAACAGTATAAAACATCTTACAACAATACATATCGGTATAATAAATTTGTATCGTCACAATAAAATTTTCGTAATGATTTCATAAATATATTATACATATATTGATACAACACAATAAAAAGATAGAAAGAGAAGAAGAAGAAATTAATATTTAGAAATAAATTTTTACCTGCAGATTTTGATAATTTTTATAAAATTATAATTTTCTTACTGTTTTATTTATAAAGTACACGTCAGATTTATACAGTTTAGGATTAAAGAAATAAAGCTAACAAGAAATTATACGCGTGAGCATACAAATGTAAATTAATTAAAATGATGAATATTTCTAATCATTGATTATAAGAATGCTAATTTCTAGTACAATAAAAATTTATTTATTCAGGATATTAATTTCTCATAGTATTAAATATAAAGCACATTTCAATATAATATTATCTGAACAGTATTAGCAATGATAAAATGCAATAACAATAATCTTAGAGTGTTTCTGTTTAATGCTGATAGTTGATGGGAGGGATTTTAATAATTTCAAAATACTGAGCATTTAATGAATTAAGTAATTGATTACAGAATCTATACAACTATATGCATACGCACAATTTAGTCATGTAAGTGGAGAGAAAACGGAATTATGACGATAAATTAATTATTTACAACGATGTCGTACAATCGTAAGTTTTATTTGTAAAAAAGATATCACTTAAAGAAATGATCGCAATAAAATTATTCACTTGCTGTCATCAAAATTCCTTGACAAGCATAGTTAATATAGACTAAAAACTTATACACGATAAAATAAATACGCGATATTTTTAGCAGAATAAAAACAAGCTTAGCAATTATATATTTCGGATTTTTAAGCACATTTTTCAAAAGGGTACTAATTAATCTTTGTTTTAAGAACGGCGAAGTATTCGTTGTATTAACAAGGAATACCACATATTAAGCAACTGTGGTAGAGGTACTAAAGTTTATCGATGTACACAATAAATCTTTTACTCTCTCTCTCTCTCTCTCTCTTTCTCTCTATCATCATTCAAAATTGGTATCCTTTCTTACGTTCCTCTGTGATCACGGAAAAGCTACACTGTCTCCAATTTATTTTACGAGAGACTGTATAAATTAAGAATATCGGGCATGCAATTCTAAGGTAGATCAGCCTTTTGTTTGCTTTCCATCGTTTTGGAAACTTTGGCCCCAATTGAAACACAATGCAAGAATATCTAATTTGATCGTCAAATAGAATTATAGCTCGTTACAGAGCTTTGCCTTTGATATCTCTGTAAACTGCCCGATTTCGTAAATCGCAGGCTCTATCTCAGTCTCTGCAAGTATCTGTTGCAACCATTGCTTTATCTGTACAGGATGTTCATCGTTTTTCTCTCGTTCCTTTGGAGATCTAATTATTTCGGAATCATCGTGATCTAAGACTTCTTCTTTATCAAATTCTTGCAAATTAGTTTCAGTCGCTCCGTTTGTCAATTTATCTAGCTCAGAAGATTCTGTAGTCATACAAGACATTCCGAAGGACTGTACATTCTGCGAGTATGATTTGTCAAAAGCGTGCAGTCCGTCCAAGGATACGTGTGTCAGGCCAAGTTTGCGTTTTATAATTAAAAGTGGTGAGCACCTTGATATGGATAAGGTATCTTTAAAAATTTTTAATGCATTGGCCTTTATGTTATGCGAATCTCGCAGCTCATTATTAGTAAAGAGTGTGGAAGGCAGACTTGAAATACGCACAGTTCTGTAGTCAGATATAAAATCTTTGCAACGTGGAAGGCTCAGATGATCTCTGGTTTTTTGATCTGATGATTTGGTGATTGATTTATCAAAACTGACATGATCCTTATTAGCATCTTGATAATCTGCAACTTTATATGGCTCCACATCCTTTACTGTAATACTATTTGATCCATGCGTCTCGATATTACCAAACTGGCGTATCCGTTCCTCTAACTCGTTCTTATCGTTCAGGACAACTACTGACGATGGTAAGAAATTTAATGAAGTCTCTATTAGAGAAAGTTGCTGCCTGTGAATAGCTTCGGCTTGTCGGAGCAGTTGCTTCTCTCTAGATCGCAGAAGTTTCGTTAGACCTTCAAAACAGTTTCTGATTTCTGCCTCAACCTGCAAATTATATTTTTCTTTCATAATTTTATGATTATATATAAAAATGAAAAACAGTTTACAACGATTATTTTAAGATATCGATATTCTATTTTGAAACATTCTATGTATCATATTAACTATTAAATAAAAATTTATTTTATATTCTTTCACAGCATCTTTTATTACCATTTACAAATAATGATTTTATAAACTGTACATTGCAATATATTAAATTTACTTTTGTACACAAAAATTAATTCAAATCTATTTCTAACTCTATGTCTGCAATTTGAGTTTTTTTTCACATAAATAAAATTTCACTCCCACAGCCTCATTTTTGCTAAAATTACAACTTTTATTAAATAAAGATTTTAACATTTAAATTAAAAAATTAATAGAAAAACCTTGAATTTTTTTTTAGTCTAAAACAGTAAAAAATTTGGGCTGTAAAAAAACTTGGACAAAAAAAAACTCAGATTATAGATGGAGGGAGTAAAAATATAATTGCAGAGGATAGTTAAAGATTTCCACAGTGGATTGAAATCAAGGGGAATGGAGAATAATTTCCATGGACTCCCATCTTGTCTCTAAGTACAGAGACTTCAATTTAAAAATATACATTACTTCGTATGTTTTGCCTTAAATGCCATGTACAGTGACACCTTTTATCACAAAATTATACCGTTTATTACTTTTTTTGTAAAGTAGTAAACAAAAAAAAAACACAGAAAACATACAAGCTACGGTGCAGCGAAAAATACGCTACGGGATCTAGTAGATTTGCATAAATGTAGGGAGATGCAGGTGAATTATCATACCTGAGCGGATTTCTCGTCCAACAGTCTGCGTTTGTCCGCGATCAATTTTATTCTCGACTGATTGTCCTCGCTATCGTCCACCTGATTCTGCTTGCCTGTCATGTTGGCTCTCCACGCGGATTCAATAACATAAATGCAAGCTCGACGGTCGACGCTCCATAGCCATTGCAATAATATAATGCAATTTAATCGCGATATACCAATGTCGCTACTTTACCGACGGCGGGCCCTCGCGGATGAATTCGGTACTAAAACGACACTAAGCGGCGCTCGTCGCCGATCGATAGATGTCGCCGCTTGTGCGATCGGGCGTGGATGTCCGAGAAGCGAGGGTGGGGGAGAGGGATGCATATGGTGCGAAAAACGCTACAAGACGACGGGCGGGCAGTTTCGCGCGGCATAGCGCGGCTTTGCTTCGTAGTGTGTGCAGGTATGATCGAGTACAAGTACGGCGATATTGGCGCATCTTAAAACATACACATACACAAACAAATACACGCATACATAAATTTATATATAAAGAAAGAAAGATACAGAGCGGAATAGATCTCGCTCGTGTGTCCTCGGAAGAAACGAGGAAGCGATTGTAGAGAGAGAGAGAGAGAGAGAGAGAGATTGTGAATCACACACCATCACACACGACCGAACGTGTCGGCGACATTAGGACGAAACTGGCGAGAGTACTATCTCTCTCTTTCACATTTGTTTATCTATCGATTTCACTTGTGTATCACAAAGGCGCCGGTGCTACCAGACTCCCGGTGGCTCTTGCTCCAATAGGAAGTGGCCTTGCCCACGTCGAATACGCCGGCTCGCGGTGCGACCAAGATTCCCTTTTTTTTTTGACAGTTCCGAGCTTCGAAGGTCCGAGGCCCAAAGACGACGGCGACGCGGCACCTCGAACATTTCCTCGCTCTAGACAACTTTGGAAAATTGGCGAAAGGTGTAACGCCAGTTTAGGTACGTACGCCTACCTTGCTTATGGTGCGTATGTGTGTGTGTGTGTGTGTGTGTGTATGGTATGTGCATGTGTGTGTATTGGCGTGCGCGCACAGCACACCGTCCGCAGGTACGGCGCCCATGCAGATATAAGTGTGTAGGTTGAATGAAACGAATTTGGCACCTCTCTTCGTGCAACGCACCCGCACGCGCGCGTGGATCGGAAATCATTCAGAAAGCGCACTCGAGACGACACGACCTGGATATGGAAGGTTGCACTAATACCTCGCGCACATCTTGTCGCGTCTGTATGTGTTTAGTGGTATTTAGGATCCGAACAGACGAAACTCCTCCTTGCCAAACGTTTTCTCGCGCGTGTTTCCTCGCATTCTTCAACGGAACCCGTTATTTCCGTGTGAACAAACTCCTCTCGTTGATTTATTAATTCATTAATGTTACATATATTTTATACCATGCCTGCATCTCAAACCAGTATTTCTATACTTATATTTAAGGTCGTTTGAAGTATGGGTCTGAAGTTTGTACGAAGCAATGCTCGCAGAGCTTTGCATTAGCATCTTCAAGTATTTACTTGAGGCTCTTAAAGAACCGGCTATAAATATCGGATTTTATGGTAGAATCATCTTTCGAGCGGAGTTACGTTATAATTTCGACACCAGCGTTGCAAAATCAGTTGAGAGGAGTAAGGTGACGTTTGCAAAAAGATTGTTATTTGTTTTTTTGTGTACGTTTAATTTGAATTTTGAAAATCATTCGATGCTTGGACACGTTTAACATTCAAATCGTTGAAAAAATATTCGCTACAATAGATAATGTCATTAGTATCATTGCCAATTTGTTCTTTTCGAAGAAATGCTTGTTAGGCACGCTTGACATTCTAATCTTAATCATTAAAACAAATATCGCTGGTATAATAGATGATGTTACATAGATTATATACATAATATATATAGATTATATACATTAGTTTTAATTCACGGAATTCTACTTCAATGTCAATTAAAGAAGCATTTTCTACGTTTATTTGTGCGGCAGGAATTTTAATGTGGTTGTATTTGCATTTTTTATTCAAGTTTTTCTAGTTTAGTCAAGAATCAAACTTTGATCCTTTTAATATAAGGAGAACCGGTAGTAGTGTGGTTTGAGAACGATAAAGTTGTTTTTTTTTTTTTTTTAAATTATCCCTGACGTAAATTTATTTTATGTGACTTGATTGATCTCATTTCAACATAATTTCAGCGAATTTGTCTGCATAACAATTGCGTCAATAATCCGATGCTTTTTCAATATTGCTCAATGATTTCATTCTTCCGTGACGTGAAGACAAATCATGTACATAACAAATAACATATGCGAAATCGGAATTTTGCATAAACAGAATTTTTCAAACGTGTCGTGACAATGTAACGAAATTCTCCCATCGATTCCATCATCGCGTGAGATCGAGAGTCGAACTCGGATTGGCGCGCTCGTCTCACGCGTGCGCGACGCGGCTGCGCGACCAGAACATTATAGGATCGCAAGTTGCGCTTTTTTCGAGTGGTGTGAACTGATATGAACTCAGGGATGGTGTACATAATCAGATCTTATGCCTCGATCTTAAGCTCTAAAAATCCGAAAATTCAGCCAATAAAATACAGATTTCAGGATTGGAGATTTAGGATTGGCAGCTCCATTGGTTGAATTTTAGAATCTTAGGATTAAAACCCGAAGCGTGTTTAAGATTGTCTTGAATGTAAATTCGAAACACTAACTGTACGTTTATACGTTATATTATATTAGATTTTTGTCCGTTTGAGGATGTTCCAGTCGGAATTTCGGAAAACGGAATTTTGGAAAAGTAATAGCGTGGAGATCAACTACTCTTCTGCGCATATGTGTTAAATGTAAGATTGTCGAAATTAAATTTCTATGCGTATAAATATAAATATTTAGATGAGTAATGTTATTTTTGATTTTATTAACTGGACATTTTGTTGAAATTGAGGGTGGATCAAATTCTCAAACGAGAATAAAAATATTTAAAATAAAATTATTTTTTTACATAGTTTCCTGCTACATTATATATTATATTTTTGCTAGCGGGGAGTTTAGCGAATTTCCTCGGATCTCTGAATTCTTAAAAAAAAAAAACAAATAAATGAAAATCGCATTGAGACAAGTCCATACGATTATCATTTGTTTGGACCATTAAAAGAAGAATTGGGAAGATAATACGATTCGTGGCTAATGCCAGTGTAAAGAAATTCTTGTGCAATTAGCTACAGATACAACTTGCTACTTTTTATGAAAACGCCAAACTGCCTATCCGGTGGCAAAAATATATTAATGTAGCAGGGAACTATGTAGAAAAATAATTTGTTTTCTTTATATTTTTATTTTCGTCTAATAAATAATAAAAAAAAATTTTCGCTTATATTTGATCCACCCTCGTATTTCCCATTTGTTACCAAACTTTTTTCAGTATATTTATATAAACGATGTCAGTAGTTAATAACTACTAATATTAATATACTTATTTAATAACTATGGATGTTATTAAACATGATCAATGATGACGTATATATGTGATCATTACGATCATTTCATTAGCTGAATGTAGAATCTAAAGACCGATTATTCATAATCGATTTCTTATGTTTAAAATGTCATGAACCAATCATATTAGTATTTTAAGACATTAGTTAAAACTTGAAATAAGAACAGATTATGAATACCACTTATACATACAGTCCATTCTTTATATTTAAAATCATATAATTTCGAGATATTGTACTATTGTTTTATTGGTTGGATCAATAATCCGATTGAGTATAAGATCAATCTTGAATGTAAAATTGGACTGATAAACCCATCTCCAGTCTTGTATTTGAAATTGTGCTTAAGTACTAATTTGAAGAATGCTGGTCGTAAGATTCCTTCCAGCCAATGAAATAACATTCATATAGTATTTCGAAATTTCGAGATAATAATTAGCTTAATCTGTTAATTAAGATTAATATATATTTAAATTTAAGAGCGAACTATGTACCGAGCGTAGTCCGATCTGTTTGCATTTATCATAAATTTGTATTTTCAAAAAATGTTTGACTCAATAAAATGACTGCACAAAATCTCGAGATCATACTGGAGATAAAAAGACGATAATATCATTTTAAGTAAGATAATAATATTATCTTAATGATATACTTTCACTGATTAGATGGATTCTCAAGATCATCTAACAAAGAAATATAGATGTCCTCTTTCGATTTTGATAAGTTTTTTGTTTTGGATCAAAATAAGAAACGCTTTTTTTTTTAATAACATATTAAAAGTTCAAAATTAGAAGGAATACTTCCGCGTATTTCTTCGAAGATCAGATTTGAAAATGATTTTAAAAGATCAAACTGTAAATGTTATTCATTAGTCCTATTTTATATTTGAGTTTTAAGTCTGATCTTTTTATTTTGTTCAGCTAATGTAATTTTATATATATATATATATGTGTATATAGCGATTTCGAGATCATACTTCAGACAATCTTAAATATAAGATTAGACTGCTCCTTGAGTTTTTCTATAATAAATCATTACCTGAGCTTCAAGTTTAGTGACACACAAAAAAACTTAAGCAATAAAACGTAAGCAATAAGCGAATTGATCAATTATAATAAAGATCCCTCAGCAATAATCAATCCATTGTTGGTTTTTTTACTGCTTACGTTTTTTGTGTGTAACGTGCCGTAAAAATGATAAATCAGTTATTTTCGCAGTTATTTCTAGTGACTGGTAAATTTCTTGGTCATGATCGATTCATCAAATTTAAGTAATAAGTTAATTGACCAATCTCAGTAAAGATCGTAATATAAGCAATAGCCAATCCAATGTTTTCTGTTTACGTTTTACTGTTTAAGTTTTTTTGTATATCATGACCCCTAAGATTTATATAAAGCTTAAATAATGGCTTATTGTAGAACGTTTGTAAATAAGTAGGATTGATATAAAATTTAACCTTTGTGCCAATGAGGCACAACTTTCCTTCTCCTTCAAGATTTCGCAACATTTTAAACATAAAATTTAAAAGTATAAACATTACACACACGTAATGATTTCTCAGAATTTTAAACGCCATTACCTAAGTTATTACATAAGTTATGTTTGAATGCGATTCTCGATACATACGAAAATGTGTTTACATTTTTTTCCCATTGACTTTGAGATTGTTCAATGTAATTTTATAAACAATTTGACCAAGTGATATCTTATCCGTGTCTGTTACAGAATTACCAAGCTATCATTGAGATATCTTGAAACGTAAAGATGAATAAAGTGGATTATATGGAAGTAACTCTCCCGAATTATTCTTACATTTTCAATTTCGAGGAGACGTTCAGTCAGCACGAGACCAAACAATGGATGATGAAGAATTGGACGAATGGTTTTTACTATTGCGGATTATACATGATCCTAATATTCGGCGGACAACACTATATGGCCAGCAGGCCCAGATTCGAACTCAGGGGAATACTGTGTCTTTGGAATACATTATTGGCTTCTTTTTCTATCATCGGCTTTACTAGAACGGCGCCCGAATTAATACACGTTCTCAGGCATCACGGATTGCTCCACAGCATTTGCATACCAAGGTATGTTTTTTCATGTATTAAGTTCCATTAAATCCCCGAATCTTTTCGTAATTGATTAATTTTAGATTTCATTGTCAAAATTTGACATTGTAAGTAGTAATTGATCGATATTTATCATTGATTTCTTTTTCAAAATTGCTTTAGATAATGTTTTAAGGTGCTAATGTAACTCTGATTGTGGCTGGTATTCACACATAGTCGAATATTGTATTCAAAATCATCTTACAGTCTTAAGATGTCGTAAATCAATGACAGATATTAGCATCTTAATGCTTAAGACTGCTTTAAATAAGAATTGACTATATCAGTCTATAATTATTATTTTGAAAGATTCTATTAGCATCTTAATGCAGTCTTTAATACAGTCTTAGCATCTTTAGTACAGTCTTAAGATATAAATCAATCACAGATATTAGCATCTTAATGCTTAAGACTGCTTTAAATAAGAATTGACTATATCAGTCTATAATTATTAGGTGTTGGAATTAATTCGTAGCGTTTTTTAATGAAAGAATGTTATTTATTTCACATGAGCATTAAAAAATACATTAATGAAAGTACTTCCCATCACTTGTAAAACGCTACGAATTAATTCCAACACCTAATACATTTGAAACAATGAAAATTTAAATAACATCAATAAACATGATTTATTTAAGTATATTTGAAATGTATCGAATGTATTGTATTCTAATGACTATTCTACAAAGACTTTTGTTTGTTTAGCATGTTTTTTAGCAGGTTTTTTAGCATGTTTAAAATAAATAATGTTGCATTAATTTCTTTTGAAACGGATATAAAAAATTTTCTAAAAGCTAAGGTCAAGATTTTAAGTCAGAGAGCGTGAATTGATTAACGTTAATGTATTATAAATACATCTCATTTTGAAATCTTCATACATAATGCGAAAAAACATTAATAAATATTTATATAGTATAAATATTTATATAGTATAAATATTTATATAGCATAATAACATAATAAAAACATAATAGTGCCAAATAAATTGAAAGACATAAATGGAAAAGAAAAACAAAAATTAACAAAATGGTCGGGATGCGACCACTCTCAGGTTTCGAAGAAAATTAATGTAATATTAAACATTTTTATCCCAATTTCTTAGAACTGAAGAATTTGTGAAGAATTTCTGAAAGATTTTCAATGTTGGTTTCAAAGAAATTTTTGATGCAAATTTTGATGTAATTTATGTTAAATAATGACGTTAAACACATCACGCAACACAATGATTGCGATTTTAAATTATAAACTTTGTAATTGAGAATCTTCTACAAAAAAGTTCTTAATTTGATTGCAGTTTTATCGAGCAAGATTGCGTGTCGGGCTTCTGGACGTGGTTGTTCGTACTGTCGAAGCTACCCGAGCTCGGCGACACGATCTTCATTGTGCTGCGCAAACAGCCACTGATCTTCCTGCACTGGTATCATCACATTACCGTCTTATTGTACTCCTGGTTTTCCTATTCGGAGCACACCGCATCCGCGCGATGGTATGTCGTGATGAACTACTGCGTCCACTCGATCATGTACAGCTACTACGCTCTGAAGGCGATGCGATACAGGCCACCTAAAGTAATCTCCATGGTGATCACCACACTACAACTTGCCCAGATGGTGGTCGGTTGCTATATCAATATATCTGCCTATCAATACTTGGAGAGCGGCAACGTAGACTGCAACATCTCTCGCATGAATATCCATTTTAGCTTCGCGATGTACTTGAGCTACTTTGTTCTATTCGCGCGTTTCTTCCATAAGACGTACCTGGCTGGAAAGAAGACCGACAAAAAGCACTTTGCCAATAGCGCACCTGGTCACATCGGCTATAACGACAAGCTCAAAGTCAACTAAGGCGTTAATCGGTACACTAAGGCGCTCTTTTTTCTATCTTTCACTCCCTTTCCCTCGCTCTCTTTCTGTTCCCAACTTTCTTTTTTTATTTTCCTCCATTCTTCTTTCACTATTTTTTTCTCACGCCGCTGGTCGACGTAGCCATACATCCAGGATCTATTCATGCTAGAAAATATTAGGTTTAACGGCTTCTAGGATTCACACACGTGTTCAGTGGTACTATCGCTAAACTTAAAGGACTTTTATGGATATGTTTTTTTAACTATAATAATAATAATATGATACATGATTGTTCCCATTTTCTGTTTCTACTTCAAAATGATTTTGTTAAATAATTGTACATTAATTAAATTTATTTATGTTAATATGTATATATTTTTAATTGAATATAACACTGTAATTTCGAATATATACATATATATTTTTTTTTTACATAACTGACTTTTAACATAAGCGTTTTATGTTCGTTTTGTTAATACTAAATAAATACGTTTTTATTTATTTGAGATAATATTTTTTTAAGATGGGAGATATTAGTTTCAGGCCTCCAGAAACATGTAGACTTGCCATTATATTGAAATTTCTCTTCTAAGATATGAAATTCATTAGAACGTCGAAATGTAAAGTTACATATATAGAGCCTAAAGTACACGCTCTAAATTTTTAGAATTTGTAAATATGTCTGTGACAAGAATTTAGATTTATAGAGTTCACATATGGGATTCGTATATCCTAGGAATCATCGAATTTTAAGTTCACAAATCCTAGGCATCGTATTATATTTCTAAAACTCTATTTAGATTCTAGGAGCCGTACGTCCTAAAAATTATAGATCTTGGGTGCGATGTTTCTCAGGATCCTTACATCCTAGGACTCGTAAGATAGTTCTTGTGAATCACAGAATCTGTCAATCCTCGAGCCCATAGATTCTAAGATATATTTAAGACACATATTTCTCAGGATTCATATAAGATCCTAAGATCTATCTTATAGAATTCGTGAAACAATGAATTGATGAAATTTTCGAATCTACAACATTCAGGATTCATATTTCATGCGATCTTTAGATCCTACGGTCTGTCGATCCTTTAGTAGGTTTTTTTAGGATCCTTAGGTCGTAGGATACATAGATTCTAATCAAGGATCCTTAGCCAATTAGTGTCCGCCTATGCGCGGAGGATATCCTAAGGAGGAGGTTCGCTTGGAGGAGAGGATATATATAGCGATTCTCCTCTTTTCATTTTTTTACGTGTAATTAGTAAAGAGCTACTTTCGCATGTACCGGAAACGTGTGCGACCGTTTCTCAAGTCCGACCGGCTGTTGCACAATTGTTATTATGATTTTTTGTTACTATCTATATCTCTTTTGCAATTGAATAAATATATATATATATATATATATATATATATATATATGTGTGTGTGTGTGTGAGTGTGTGTGTGTGTGTATATATATATACATATATATATATATATATACATACATACATACATACTGGGTATTATTTAATAATAATTTATAAGATCAAACACATATGCGTGTAAATAATAATTTTTTATAAATCCTACATGACACCAGATTCTAAATCTTACTTTCCATTATCCTATCTTGAAATCACTTCAACTATATAAATATAAACGCCAAAGATTATATAATTTTCAATGATCTAATCAAATTTCAAAAGAAAAAATTCGAGTTTCAAATGTCATTGTAAGCGTTAACTTACAATCCATAGACCTATTACTTATTAAAAAGAAAATTTCTTATGATATTCTTTGTCATTTCTTTGTCATTCAAATAATAAAGATTTAGCTCGTGAAAGTAAAAATCGCAAAATGTGCACAGTGCATTGCTTGATGAGGTCAAAAAAATTAAGGATATATGAAATTCTTAGTTATATAAATAGTCTATTTTTTAAATCATTTATACTATTTATAGAATAAATTTTATAATATAAAAAACATACTTTAAAGATAAATTTGAATTGCATTAAAACATTCTTGGAAAGATTAAGTAAATAATTATAGATATTAATCAGTGACTAATAAAATTTTCAAAATAAAGTTATTGCAGTGTTTATAAGAAAGATTATGTGAATATCACGTATCATAACAATATTTATATTTTTACATTTAAGAAAAGTATATAAAGGAACTTTTACATTTAGAAAAGTATATAAAGGAACTTCAAAATATTTTACGCGCTTCTTTTTATAAATTAAAATTTCTGCAATTATTATATGGAAACATTTTCTGATCGCTTGTAATTTAATGTTCATTTAATTATATAGTAGACGTAATCGTCAATTAATAAATAGTCAATTAATTGTGAGAAAATATAGTTTAACATCTACCATATGGGTTACAGGTCAGATATTCCACGCTGGCCTTTTCGTTCAAATTGTTTGATATTATGTATCTATAAAAATAAAAATAAATGTGATTATAAAATAATTTCTGATATACGCGCGTGGATAATTATAATATATGATGCAATATTTTGATACATTAGACCTTTATAATAATTTTTGTAGTGTTTTAATTATATATATATATATATATATATATAAAATAAATACAAATAAAAATACCATGAATAACCGATTCATGTGGCTTGGTAATGATAGTTATATAAAGTTGACACAACAAACATAACTGTAAATAATTGATCACTTACGTAATATTTAATGCAGATATTAAAGTCGATTGTCAATCTTATCGTATCAATTTTAATAATATCCGATAGATAATGACTTCGGAAAAAATTATGCGACTGTTAATTTCCGCTCATAAAACTTAATTAAATATGTAAATTTTTTTTGTATATCATTAACTGTTTATTTATTGTATCGCCTGTTGTGCAATTCTCCTTACTTCAAGATCACCTTTGTACTTTTCATCGCTTTTTGTACAAATATATCAAGTTTCACGTTCTTTTAACGTGATTTATCTTGTGTTGATAGCGTGATCGTATATATCATTTTTGTAAGATGTCATGCTGTAAAACTCACCAAATATTTTACAACAGAGCGTATACTCTATTATTACGTGACTTTACTAAAATAAGCTTATCCGCACATTTATCTCATCAACAGAACGAAGCGAAAGATATGTTATGAATATAATAAATTTTTAATCTTTTTTTCGCTATAAATTATTTCTATTATATACAAAAAACCTGACAAAATATAAATGATATTTCCAATAAAACAATTGTGCGCGCGCACACAAAAGTTATATGGTGTAAACAAAAATTTAGCTTGTATAAATTATTGATTGTTCTACGTCACATTATTCTGTGAAACGAAAAAGAAATAATGTTTAGTAATTTTTATTAGATATATCTAAGTACAATATACCAAATTTTTCATACATTCATTTTCAACAGTTTAATTTACAATTGTATGAAACTTGTTTCATATGACCTTTGCTATTTGCGTTACTATTCATGCATACAGTAAACCCGTGCAGTAAACCCAATCTTACGATCCTCAGTCATACGATCTTGATTAAGCAATTCGAATACTGCTATAAGCGTGTCAACTATGACCAGTACGGTTCCAGAACAAGATATTATGTATACATTTATTCCTGCCAAAATTTATAAAATTATCACATCATTCAGCCTAAATATATGACATTTTTACAATGTAAATTTTGATATAAAAAATTATGATATGAATTTGAACAATCGAGAATAAACCTAATTAAAGAGAAATCCTGCATTCATAAAAGCAGATGTTAGTATTTAAATATTTCTGTGTGAATTTATATACATATTTGATTCGACAAACCGTTGAAATCTTTTTCGGTCTTAAAACGCAATTAACAGGAGTAGAGTAGTAATGTCCCTTACTAAATTAACGAGTAATTTAATAATTTTTAAGCTAATAAACATTTTTTAAAAAATATTAATCATTTAAATGTTAATGAGCACCCTAAATAATTCAATATTTTTATGATAAATCAAAATATTCTCAATCGAAATTTGTATCCGAATTCCGATTGAGATTTATTTTTTGCAATAAATTATTTACAAATTCTCGTCGGTCAAAATTCATAGCATAATTGTGTAGAAAGTTTTGAAAAAAAAACCGCTGTATATTTCAAGCAACTATAACTTCGTTAAAAATAAATAAAATTTAAATTTAAAACAAGATTTTAAAAATTAAAATCTCTACTTTCAGAAGATTATAATTTTTTTAGTGTCTATGAGTTTAATCATTTTTACACATAGAAAACTATGAATGGACAAAATAAAAAAATTTTTAGTTCTGTCATTCAAAAAAATTAATATTTATTTGAATTTTTTGTTAAGTACCTGTTAAACAGTTTAATCTTAATGTTCTAATTATAAGAAGGTGCTCCAAGAAAAGATGAGAATTGACAGATTTGAGAGTTTTTCTTTAACATCATATAAATGTATATTGATCCTCGATATTTCTATTCAAGTATCTTAGACATTTTAAATTTCCAGAGAAATTGAAATATCTAATATTTTAATTGAGTTATGTAACTATACCTCCTTATTTTGTCCCCAATCTTCAGAAATATATGTCAATAGATCTGTCAAACCCTCAAACTCTGTTCTGCTTTGAGGTGGGTCATTCTTAGGTATTTTTGGTAGTAGAGAGCCCATCTTGAATCTAAATTCCTCTGCATTAGTAGCTCCAGAGAGTTTCCAGATTCCATAAAAAAATAAGCCACATCCTGTGACAGCATATAATGTACCCCAGCCAAGGGCTCTTATAGCTAATGAGGCTCCAGTTTCAGGAATTCCTTTTATACCAGAAATTCCATCTCCAAAATGTTTTGGATCTTGCTTTCTGGCTGTCGCCACTGCCGTGGCAAATCCAATGAGAGCAGAAATACTTGCAACAGTGCTTAAAAATACTGTAGCTACAGAAATAACAATAAGACATATTCATTGAAAGAAGTTACATAAATATTAACAAAAAAAGAAACTTGATTATCGATTAAAAATAAAATTATCATTAGATAATAGAACTACAGTGCGACAATTATCAGATAAAAAAGATTAAACTATTAATATCTTAAATAAATCGATTCAACAAAGAATATATATCGTATTGTTTGAAACATCTAAAATCTTTGACCGTTCATTGACGTTCTCTATCATATTTGTGTTTTTAAAATATTAATTTTTGCACATGAAAAGCATCATTCACAATTAAAATATTTTATTTTTCATCTGAATTGATTTCTAAAAATTTTTTGTTTATATTTATCAAATGTATTATGCTGTGCAAAGATTAATGCAATTTAGTAAAACAAAGTTAAGCCGACTAAATCGATTTCATAAACTGAAAAATACTGTAACTTCTTATATATTGATAGTACATGTCAAGTATAGTAAAAACGCATTGTTATAATTTTCTTTTTTTTTTAATTTATTATCGGGTGTTAAATGATAAGAGCTGGAGCATTATCGCACTCGTAAAAGTGAGGTTAGTTTGCAGCAAGCAACTTATACGCAAGCAAATATTCCTTTCTTAAATAAAATGTACCATTAATTTTCTCCTTCAATTTCTCAGACTTCGTTACGGATGTTTTTACAGTGTCATTCGATTTCGCCATCACGTTACACTTACAGAAGAAATTAGTCGTTAGGGTCTACCATTTTTAAAGCCCACTCGTAATCTCGATTGGAGTATTTGGTGGTAACATGAAAAAGATTCTTACATCTTTATTGTCCCTAATTGCTTACAGTCGATAAAGTAGTCGCAAATCATGCTGACATTAGGGGCGCAATTCCGTAACTGTTTTACACGGCACATGCCTACCGACAGTCAATGTCATTGCGCTTTTTCATCATATAAAATTTGATACTATATAAACTTTACAGTACTTTACACGCCTACTGTCAGTAGTTTTGCTTGCATTTTGAAATCAACGCTTCATATTGGCTGTCGCAACAAACTTGCAATCAGTTTGCAACTAATGTAGAACCGGCTTTATAAATTACAATGGGCGAGTTCAAGCTGACATTGCGGCTGGACATGCTTGTGAGTGAATGAGCATGATTGGTTCTTACCAAGTGGATTCAACTGGATCCAACCAATCATGTTTAATTGTTCGGTTAGCAGACCTAGCCGCTACTAGCCGCTTTGCCGACTTGAACTCGCCCATTGATATTAAAATAGTGAGAGGAAGTCGATTATACATTTATATATTAAAATAAAGATTTCCGGATCTTTTTTTTTTTTCAGTTCTTTGTTGAAAGATCGTGAAAGGGAGGTACGTTATTTTTGGGTGAATTGAGTGCGAGTTCTGCGGAATCTACGACGTGGGTACCAGCGGATGCTTGCTCGATAAAAATGGAAGGTAAATCATTGTTACAGTCCACTCCATCCCTCTTCTCGCCAGACTATTTTCAGAAAGAAAAATGTGTAAATCTCTCAATGTACGTTACAGGCGAGGCAAAGCACAATATCGACAAACTCGTCGATGATTTGAAATGTGTTGTAAGACTCGAAGCCTCGCAAGAGGAATGCCCCAATATTGTTCAGATACTGGATTCTGTAGTAAATGTTAGCAAAACGTCAATCGGAGGTATAACTGGATGATTCAACTAAATTAAATGCTGTAATTAGGTGTCACAGTATTATATGGTATGGAATTGTTATCGAATACTAACGGATGGTTTCAGAGACTACCGAATTAGTCATTGATGAAGTCTTCCTAACGCTACTTAGGCACAAATCTAAACAAATCATAGCAAAGACTGCAAAAGCTATTGCAGAGATAGCAAAGACTGATCGAGGGAGAGAGAAATGTACCAGTTTTGAATTGATACGGACCTTGATTGGTTTGCTAAAAGAAGAAGATATAGACATATTGACACAAACTTCCAGAGCTTTAGGAAACATCTGCTATGAGAATGGTTGTTGTAGTAGTTATATTTACATGACAGAAATTTTATTACATATTTATATATAGTTTCGAAATAATGGTTCATAAGATTTCAAAGCTTTGATATTTAAAGGGATATTTATATATTAAGTGTTTATAAATATATGTAAGTTTCATATTAAAAAAAAAGCTAACAAACATTTATGTTACAGAGACTGGTAAAAACCTGGTGACAGAACAGGATGGTTTGAAAGTAATTCTAGCACTACTGAAGAAAGGAATTGCTCTAGGTAATGTTGAAGGTGCGAGCTTCCTGAGAAATGTGGCCGCTGGAGTTTTATTGAATTTTTTGGTGGATCAGGAAATGTTATACAGAAAGGTAAATTTTTTGAAAATATATTTGTACATTGTGATTGAATCAATAGTGATATTGTAAAATAGAAAGCAACAGCAAGCAATAATTTTATTATAAGATATACTTTACCAGGCACTAGAGGAGGATATGGTACCGATTATTTGCAGTATTTTAGAAGAAGATGGAATAAATGGTGATGAATCAGCAGTACAAGTGTTACTCACTCTTGGCATATTGAACGACGTGAATATTATATTTCTCAATGAGAGATTGACAAGAGTTTTGGTTGATATACTGGCCAATGACACTTCCTCTGAGCTATCTGAGATGTGTTTAGAAATCTTACATGGCCAAGCAGAAGATGGTAAAACAGTAATTTTATAATAATTAAAATTAATTAATTAAATTGATTTAAATTAAATTAATTGGAATTATGCTGATTAAATATTTCAGTATAATTAGTCTTAAGTAAATTGGATTTAAATTTAAAATTGAATTAAATTGGAGAGCAATAGCTTAATAACATAATTCCATTAGAAAATGCGAAGTTGTTATTGGCTAAGGCAGGAGTGTGTGAATTGCTCCTGAAACTGTTGGAGAAACATGGTCCACAATGCACCGACGAAGAAACACGGTCGATTCTTAAAGTCGCCTGTAACTTGATTGTTTTGATTTTAACTGGAGGTGAGTTCTAGGGGAAAATTCAAATGCAAGTTTTAATGGCTTTAACAAACATACTTGGTACTTAGATGAAAGCATGAATTTCCTTTACGATGATGGCAAGGGTCCTGTATACAGGAAACTGATAGAATGGCTAGAGAGTGTTGACGAGGATTTGCAGATCACCGCCGTTTTGGCCATGGGCAACGTTGCGCGAACTGACATACATTGCAAGCGCATGGTGGAACAGGGTATTCATCGGAAGCTGTTAAAAATTCTCGAAAGAAATGGCAACAAATCTGGCGATATTAGATGTCAGCACGCCTTACTCAGCGCATTACGCAACCTCGTTATACCTGCAGACAATAAATCGTTAATTCTTGCCGATGGTCTAATCGATGTGCTGTATCCAATGCTGGAGATCCCTACCTATCCTGTCGTTTTCAAATTGTTGGGAACGCTTAGGATAGTCATAGACGGTCAAAGTAAGAGGTCGTAAGCTTTTTTTAAAAATTAAAGCAATATTTATTATATTCAGAATGAATAATATGATAATTAAGACAAAGTTTCTTGTTTTAGAAGAAGCAGCAATTTCTTTAGGGCGAAGAGAGGACTTGATTAAGCGGGTAGTTGAGTGGTGCAGTACTGAGGACCACCCTGGTGTCCAGGGTGAAGCCAACCGATTAATTGCCTGGCTAATAAATAATAGCAGGTTCGTTTTCTATGGCTTAGTGATATGAAGTTCCTAAAAACCTAGTTTTTCAACATTTTATATATAATTTTTAGGGACAAGCAGGTTGCTTTGTCAATTATCAAGTACGGTGCAGTGCAGCATCTAGTAGATATGCTTTTAGCGCAACACACGCTAATGCAAAACGAAGCAATTATGGGTCTTAATTTATTGACTGTAATTTGTCCGACGGAATCTGAAGAGCTATTGATCAAAGCAGATTTTGGACGCAATATGTGCGAATTGTTTGCACGCTCCCGTGAGCTTGACGTACACATCATGTTAAACGCGTTATCGTTATTGAATCGCGCCCTGGAATTAGGTATAAAGATCTATTCAGAATAGAAAGAATTATTTGATCGACCGATAATTTTATATGCCGTCTGTTTTAGACCAATTGAAGGAACATCTTACGAGCTACGGATTAGCCAACGCATGCAAACTGCAATGCCACATAAATGAAAACACCGTCACGGAGTTACAGACTCAAGTTACCAATTCGTGAGCGGCGCTGGGCACCGTCTTGGAAACTAACTAAGGATAATAATGATGATGATGATGATGACAATGACAATGACAATGACAATGACCAATTCCAAAACGCGTTCTTATGCGCTGCCATTCCCTACATTGTTGTATCTTCCATCATTCCAAAGAACCAAGAAATGCAATCTTCAATGACCAAATCGTTCCCAACTTGATCCATAGATTGCTACATATTTTATTTATCGAGAAATATATATTCTATTAATGCTATTGCAATTGATTTTCCTATTGTAAAATCTTCGTGAAAGCGAAAATTGAGCAATTAGTACTTGAGTATTCACTTCACTAGAACACATGTTATATTTTTTCATGGATTGTCCGTAGTGTTATCATTATTAAAAACACTGTTAATGCAATTGCTCAATGATTGTTCGCACAAAAAGTAATGAGAATCGATCAAGCTCCGATTCTCTCATTCAGTGATTAACTTATCACACAATACATATTTTATTAACAAAGATTGTTTTTTAACATATTAAAAAAAAAGATTCGATCGGAGGCAATAAATCGAATTTTTGATTTTTAAATAATTCTAGTGATTGAATTCATCGCCGAATAAATTAATAAAGTATAATTAAAATTACTAAGAGAATCAGTGATTTAATTCAAAATTTTTCGAAGCAAAATTCGTTTGATTTTATAATTGTGAAATAAATAAAATAATTTTCTATTAACTAATGATAATTGTCCATTAGCAAAATAGATATAGATAGGTTTTTAACAAGTTAATCGTCGATTAGTTAATTAGAATTTGTAGTCGCTCCGTGCAAAAGCAACGTCAACATCGTCAACCCTGACCGGGCTTCGTAAATCGCAATGCCATCTGGTCACGTCACGTGCCACAATTCATGGCGCAGCGGTCGCGCGAGCTGCCACGTAATGTTGTGCGTGCCGTTCGTTCGTTCATGAATCGCTGCTATTAGGATTCATCTTGTGGTGCTGCGTGGAGGCGAACGGCAACAAGGGCGATGCACGAGCCTGCGTCTATCCGTTTCTAATTTTTGGCTACTTACATTAGTACGAAGGTAGGCGGGTCCTTTGAACGTTTCAAGTTCGTCCTCTGCATTTTAACCTTTCAACATGCTGACAATGCGCTTTGACTATCCAAACGTCAACCTACTGATCTATATATCTCTTCTTGTAGATTATTAAGATGGAAATTTCCCTGCAACGAAATTTCATCCTCTCGTACCGATCTGTCTAATTTTTAACAATCTTTTACAACATCCTGCAGCTTCTGTATATCTTTAGCTGAGTTTGGAGCTGAGATTGGGAATTGTTACTTAGACCTGTAATTTGGTGTATGATTTTTATTGTTGCTGGTGATAAATGCAATTAACTGAATTCTTTTTGTTTGAATTACAAATTAAATTGAAAATTGAAAGTAGTTGACTTGCACTGTGTTGCTGTTGTATATCTCACATCTCGGATACTAACATTGATGGATTAATATTGATTAATTTATAATTTTATATGTTATAATATATATAAAAATTCATGTCTTTAAAAGCATGTTATTTAACTGAATAAAAAAGTTCCTCAATAATTGTATTTTGTTTCAGTGATTGTTAAAGCAACAAAATGTCACAATCAAGTGGTTACCAAT